CTGTGGTGAAGGATTATAGATACTTTCATAAAACATGATAAAAATTACTAGAAAGGGAAATAAAGAAAACAAAGGCATATACAATACAATCCTCCACATTTTATTAGATGTAGACATAAAATTAGTCTGTTAAATTGGTATAAGCTTCTAAATTTTTTTTTTTAAGTTGGAGTCTCACTTTGTCACCCAGGCTGGAGTGTAGTGGAATGTTCATGGCCACCACAACCTCAATCTGCTGGGTTCAGGTGATCCTTCCACCTCAGCCTTCCAAGTAGCTGGAACTACAGCCACATGCCACCATGCCTGGCTAATTTTATTTTTTGAGTTGGAGTCTCACTCTGTTGCCCAGGCTGGAGTGCAGTGGCACGCTCACGGCCACCCCAGTGTCGACCTGCTGGGTTCTAGTGATCCTTACATCTCAGCCTTCCAAGTAGCCAGAACTATAGGCACGCACTACCTTGCCTGGCTAATTTTTGATTTATTGTAGAAATGAGGTCTCTCCATGTTGCCCAGGCTGGTCTCGAACCCCTGGGCTCAGGCAATCCTCTTGTCTCCACCTCCCAAAGTGCTGGGATTATAGGTGTGAGCCACTGCGCCAGGCTAATTTCTAAATTCTCTTACTTTGAGTAAATGCCTTGTCATGGACCAATAAAAAAGGTCTTGCATGCTTGCACTAGCCTGTGGCCCATATTTTTGGTGGCACAGCTCCAGAACACTGACAGAAATCAAGCTACTGAATCCACAGGGCTAAAGTCAAAACAACTAAAGTGTTGCTCTTGGTCCTGAGTCACCACCTGGCCACCTAGTGGCCTTTTTCTAGCCATAAGCATAATGTTGTGTCACTCCCTATTTAAAAAACCATCCATTGTTGCCCTTGTCTCTAGGATAAAATCCCAGTCATCTGACCAATCACCCAAAGCCTTCCAAACAATTTTTTAAGTCTGACTTTCTGCTATTCTCTATTTCACTAGATTGTACTGCCCAATATAGTAGTAACTACCACACTTGAAATGAGGCAAATGAAATGAGACTAATTTAGGAATTGAGTTTTTAATCAACTTTAACTTAAAATTAAATTTTAAAACTGGTATATGACTCAATGATCATAAAACTTTTAAGTATGTTTGTAGCAACTTGGATATATAAGTCTATACTCTCAACTGGAAATTTCATAAAATCAAGTATTGAGATATGCTCTAAGTATGAAATACACACCAGATTTCAAACATGTAATAATGAGAAAAAGAATGTAAACTATTTAAAAATATATAGTAATTTTTAATATCAATTGCATATGAAACGATACTATGTGGATATACTGCGTAAATAAAAGACATCATTAAAATTAAGCTGGGCACAGTGGTTTATGCTTGTAATTCCAGCACTTTGGGAAGCTGAAGTGAGAGGATGGCTTGAGGCCAGGAGTTCAAGACCAACCTGAGCAACATAGCAAGTCTCTGTCTCTAAAAACACTAAAAAAATCAGCTGGGCGTGGTGGTGCATACCTGCAGTTCCAGTTACTCAAGAGGCTGAGGCAAGAGAATCACTTGAGCCCAGGAGTTCAAGACTACAGTGAGTTATGATCCCATCACTGCATTCCAGTCTGGGTGACAGAGTGAGACCCTGTCTCTAAAAAAATAAACAAATAAAATTAAAATTAAATTCACTTAGATAACCATGCCTAAAAACTAGGAATCATTGTTGATTCCTCCCTTTCCCTTACTCTTCACATTTGATTCATAAGCAAGACAGGTTAGCTCTAAGCACAAAATATATTTTAGATCCACCTGCTTTTTCCATCTCCACTACTATACTAGTCCACGCTACTCCATTCCTTAAATCATTTCAATGGCTTCCAGCACACCTAACCTTCTTATCAAGGCTGCAGACCTCCTCTCCTATCACTCCTTCCTTTACTCACTAGACTTCAGCTACACTGGCCACCTTTGTTCCTAAACACAAGAAACCTCTCACCTCAGGGCCTTTGCCCTGCTATTCCCTTTGGTCTCGCATACTGTCATCAATGCCTCCCTATAGTCAGGTCTTAACTCGGAGACTATCTTCTTAGTGAGGCCATCTCTGAACAACCACCAAAACTGCTCTCTCCCTCAGAGAAATGCTTTATACAATCATCATTTTCTTTATGAAAATGAAGGTATTATGAGGTATTATTTTTCCTCCTTTTTTTTTTTTTTTAAAAAGACAGGGTCTTGCTATGTTGCCCAGGCTGGTCTTGACCTAGCCTCAAGCAATCCTACCGCCTCAGTCCCCCAAAGTGCTGGGATTACAGGCTTGAGTCATTACACCCAGATCTTCATTCTTAAAATGTATTTAGTCTGTTTCCCGCTAGAAACAGGAGTAGGAACCCTGCTTGCTTTGCTGCTGCTTTATCTATTTCAGTGTGTAGAATGTTGCCAGACACAGAATAGTTTCTCTTCCAACAAGTATTGAATGAATGAATGAACTGCTGACTTGACACATCTGCTTGGTTGGTTCATAGGCATTTCAAATTCTAAATGGTAAAAACAGAACCTTTTTCCTTCCATAACATATATTCTCTTCCCTTGCTTCTAATCTCAATGAAGACATTACCATACTCCCAGCTGCTCCACCAATACACTTGGGTGTCATCTTTAACATTTCCCTCTGTTATTCCCTTATCCAAACAAATCTCCAAGCTTTCAATAACCACTTTAGTCATTTTCTTCACTCCTATTTGCCACTACCTCAGTCCATTATTCTTTCAGACTACTGTTTTCTCCAGTTTTCCTTGCCTTCAATTTCTGTGTAACAGTGATCTGAACCTCAAATTCAATCCTATGATGCTTCCACTTAAAATCTTTCAACTGCTTCCTCCTGGCTCTCAGAAGCTAATTTTTATACGTGGCACTCAAGGCCTTTACAACACGACCTCCATAGGAACATCTCTAGGTATCTGTAAACAGCACTGTCTTCTGCACCCAATCATCTCTCTAGTGTATGCCTCTACCCTTTGTACCTATTGCTTCCTGTCTAGTCCTTCCCCAATTCCCTTATTAAAAGGTGTTTCTCGCCAGGTTCGGTGGCTCAGCCTGTAATCCCAGCGCTTTGGGAGGCTGAGGTGAGTGGATTGCCTGAGCCTGCAAGACTCGCCTGGGCAACTTGGCGAGACCTCATCTCTACAATAAATCAAAAATTAGCCGGGCGTGGTAGCACGCACCTGTAGTTCCAGCTACTTGGAAGGCTGAGGTGGAAGGATCGCTGGAGCCCAGCAGGTCGAGGCTGCGGTGGCTGTGAGCAGCCACTGCACTCCAGTCTGGGTGACAGAGTGAGACGCCAACTCAAAAAAAAAAAAGGCCGTTTCTCCAGTCCTGTTTCATTTATCCCTGGGTAAGGGTTTCCTTCTTTATGAGATTCTGCAGTATCTGCAGTTTACCCTTATCATACTACTGATGATGGCTATTTACTTGTTGCTTTGGGCGGGGAAGGGGTGCAGGGAGGAAGCTTCTACTCTGTTGCCAAAGATGGATGGAGTGCAGTGGTATGATTATAGCTCACAGCAGCCTCAACCTCCTCCTGAGTTCAAGTGATGCTCCCACCTCAGCCTCCTGAGTATCTGGCACTACAGGCAGGGACCTAATTTTGAATTTACTTTTTGTAGGTGTGGGCCATCTAATTTTTAATTTACTTTTTTTACCCACCTAATTTTTACTTTTTGTAGGTATGGGGCATCTCACTATATTGTTCAGTCTGGTCTCGAACTCTTGGTCCCAAGCAATCATCCTGCCCTAGCCTCCCAAAGTGGGGATTACAGGGTGTGAGCCCCCATGTCAAGCTGACTTGTTTATATTCTACAGCATAAGATCAACGAGGGCAAGAATTCTGTAGTAATCATTAGCTGATGTTTACTTGGATAATGTTATACAAAACATATCAAAATTTTTATCAACTGAAGCAATGAAAATGTTAAGTCAAAAGAAAACAGACTACGACTCCTATACCACTTACTTTTCTTCTATTTTAGGCACAATGCTTTAATAAGTTACACAAAGACTACAAATTTTTACTACATCAATTATTACAAAGGGGTAAGTGAAGAAAGATTACATATCGGAAGCCACACAAAAAAATCAGTGGGCAATGATGGAATTCATTTAAATTTGTGAGACCTCCTGGATTAATCCCAGCATATAATCCTGGCATTCTGGGAGGCTGAGGCAGGAGGCTCTCTTGAGCTTAGGAGTTCAAGACCAGCCTGGGCAACATAACAAGACTCCATCTCTACCAAGAAAAAGAAAAAATGCACACATACACCAAAAAAATGCACACATACACAACTCTTGGCGCTGTCTCACATATTACCAACTCCTAGATATAGTATGGCCAAAAATTGCAGGGTTAGTGGGCTAGGAAAGCCATTCCCAGGTTCCCCTGCTAAAAACATACCCGTGTTGAGTTCCTTAGCAAATCACATGTAAATCCAATTCATAAAGCGTTTACGCTGCCAATCATCACCTCCAAACAAACTTTTGCTACTTTCTTAATAAACCACAACACAATAAAAAATTTGACATCCCAGTCACAGAAAAACAGAGCTCCACCTCTGAGGTCAGTAATCCATGGGAACTCAGGGAGCAGTTATTAGGGTCTAAGAAGCACATGTCACCACTAAAACGTTGAAAAGAGGAAAAAGCTACAGAAACACTTGTATCTTTGCCATAAACCTGACGGTTCAGTGTGTGTGAAGTGAAGAGGGAACCTCCTCGGTTGCTCCCCCGGTACCTCCACGTCTGCGGTCCCAGTCTGCCTAGTGGAATCTAGGGCCACTTTAAGGTAAATCCTAGCCTTTGGCTGCCCTTCCGCCTCCCAGGATTCCGCTAGGCGGCTCCGTTGGCCAGCTTAAACTCCAAGGGCCCCGCCGTCTCCGTCTTTCAGCGGTCGTGCCGGAGAGACACGAAGGTTAGCACAGCCACATCAGTTTCCAAACTTCCACCGGCCGCG